GCGCGCTACTCCCTCGCCACGGGCCGCTTCGAGGTCCGCCGCGGCGGCGCCGTCGCCGCGTACGAGCCCGCGGCGCCGGGCGCCGCGCTGCCCGCGGCCGCGCCGGACGGCGACCTCGAGCGCCGGCTCCGCGACGCCCAGCGCGGCGTGCGCCGCTGCCTCCGCGCCGAGCAGGCCCGCGCCGCGGGGCCCTTCCCCGTCGTCGTCGACCTCCGCGCCGCCGCGGCGGCCCGACCGCCGGCGCCGGCGACGCCCGCGAAGGCGGCCGCGGCGGCGCGCGCGAGCCCCGTCTGCGTCGCGCGCGCGCCCACGGGCGCCACGCCGCGAAAGGCCGCGCCGTCCGCGCGGTCCGCGTCGTCGCGGACGACCGCGCAGCCCGGCGCGAGCCTGTCCTTCGTCTCCGACCTCACGGGCGCGACGGCCCCGCTCGGCGCGCGGCCCCCGCGGAGCCCGCGGCCCCTCTTCTAGTCGCCGGGGGGCTCTGTGTCTTACTTGTGTGTGGAGTGTGGGCATCGGGCTCGGACCCGAGTCGTCGCTCGGACTCGGACTCCGAGTCGGCCTCGCCGCGCGCCGTCGTCGCTCAACCGTGCTCAGGGCTCGAAGTCGCGGAGAGTATCGGCCTCGGCCTCGCCGCGCGCCGTCGCCGCTCAACCGTGCTCAGGGCTCGAAGTCGAGGAGCGCGCCGTCGTCGCCCGCCGTCACGCCCGTGGGCCGCCAGGCCGCGAGCTTGCTCGGCTCCGGCTTCGCGTCGCCGCCGTGGGGCGCCGCCGCGAGCAGCAGCCACTCGACGCGGCCGTCGGAGTACTCGACCTTGGCCTTTCCCCCGTTGGGCTTGCGCGACACCACCTGCGCCGGATACCAGCCCCCGGAGCCGCCGTCCCAGAAGATGTCGACCCAGTCGTCGCCGAGGTCGGCGACGAGCGCGCGCGCGACCTGCGCGCGGCTCTTGTACGTCGCGCCGTCGGGACCTACCAAGCACGTCGGTAACGATGTTTCCCACCCGAAATCTCTCGAAAATCGTCGCAGCCGCGGGACGCCGGTCGGGACCGACGTACTCGACGCGCGTCACGTGCTCCGTGACGTCGACGTGCTTGGCCTCGAAGCCCTCGAGGCGCGCCGGGTCGCCGCCGCGGGCCGCGAGGAAGTCCGCGAGGACGTCGAGCGGGTCCGCGGCCGCGCGGCGCCGCTTCCTCGGGCTCGGGGACGTCGACGACGGCCGCGGCGGCGCGGGCAGCGTCGCGGCGTCGACGACGGCGCCGTTGAGGCGCACGGCGACGCGCCGCGCGCGGCCCTTGGGCCGGGGGCTCCCCTCGAGGAAGTAGGTCGGCGCCGGCGGCCGGAACGCGACGTCGGCGGCGACCGCGGGCGCGAGCGCGCGGATCTCGTCGACGCGGAGCTGCTCCTGGGTCGCGCCGTCCTCGTGCTCGACGTCGTAGTGCGGGTCGCGCGCCTTCGTCTTCGGCGGGTACCAGGCCGTGATCTTCGCGGGGAACCACTCCTTGCCGCCCTTCCACTTGGCCTCGACGAGGTCGCCGACCTTGGGCTCGAAGGGGGCCTCCGGCTCGGCCTCGGGGGCGGGGGGCTCGGCGTTTTCGGGCTCCGGGAGTGATGTTGTTTCGGTCTGGGGCTCGGAGACGGGCGCCTCCGGCGCGGACTCGGCGGGGGCGTCGTCGCACATTGTTGGCGTTCTCTCCTCTTGACCTTGAGCGAGTCTTGAGGCAAAATTTTTTTTAGCCACTACTCCGAGTAGCAGCTCTCTCGAGCACACTGAGCCCAAGAGTCAGCCCCCTACACGCCCCCTGCTCGCCTCGAACACACACAGGGGCCGTCTGAACCCGCACCAGACCTTGTGACAAAGCGCCCTACGTTTAGAGACGCATAATCCGCAAAGAAGGCCGCGAAGCTATACAAGCGAGCCGTGGAGCTCGGAAACGCGGACGCGATGACGCAGCTTGGTGATATGTACATGAACGGAGACGGTGTGAAGTGGAACAAGAAGAAGGCGATGCAGTTGTTTCGCGCAGCCGCGGAAAACGATAATGCGATCGCACAGGCCAAGCTTGCGATTTATCTCTGTGAAGAAGGGGATCTAGCGGGATCTGTCTCATTCGTGACGCGCAGTGCTGAACAAGGCTTCACTGTCGCAGAACATTTCCTTGGTCGCCGTATCGAGGACGGCGAAGGCGTCGAAGCGAACCTCGACGAGGCCAGGCGACGCGCGGCCGCCAAGGGGTACGAGCCTTCGATCGACGCGCTCGCACACCTCGACCGCAAGGCCAAGGAAGCCGAGTCGGAGCGGGTCGCGGCCGAGCTCCGCGACGCCTAATTTAGTTGAAGCCAAGGTTTGCCCTCGTTGCGTTGATGGTGCCGCGGACGACGCAGAGCCCTCGCTCGAGGTCGAGTCAGAGTGCCGCGCCCACGCCGTCGCACGATGCTCTCCGCCGTCGCGGACACGCTGGCCTACTGGCGCGCCTTTTTCTTCTACCTGCGCGGCGGCAAGTTCGAGGGCAGCGACCCCTTCGCGGGCTATGCCGACGGCAAGCGCATGAAGGTCCACGTCTTCAGCCTCGCCCTCGCCGTGCGGCTCTGGAGCGCGCCGCACTACCGCAAGGCGTCCTACGCGGGCGACCTCCGGGACAACTTGCGCAACGTCGCCGTGCCGGGCACGGGCGTGCCGCTGTCCGTGCTCACCTACAGCCGCGCGGCCGCCGTCGCGTTCCTCTTCCTCGGCTACCCGGCGCTCTGCCTCGCCGCGGGCCTCGCGCACGCGTACCGCGCGGCCGGGCGCGCGCTCGACGTCGCCGGCGGCCTCGTCGCCTACCGCGAGCAGCTCCTGGCGCCGCGGGACTGGTTCAGCCTCTGGCGCATCAACAGCCGCCTCGCCGCGTGGCACTCGCTCGCGACGCGCGACGCGGGCGCGGCGGCCCCGGGTGCGGGCTGGCACGACTACGACATGGAGAACAAGTGGGCCTTCCTCGCCCGGGGCCGGGCGCGCGGCGTCGCCGTGTCGCCCGTGCTCGACGTGCCCGCGCTGTGCGTCAAGCACAAGAACGAGGAGGGCGGCATGGGCATCCACTTCTTCCGGAACGCGCTCGCCGGCGGCGACTGGATCATCCAGGAGGTCATGGCCAACGAGGCCTTCGTGGCGAACTTGTTGCCCCCGGGCGCGCCGCTGTCGACGTTCCGCGTCATGACCGCGAGCCGCCTCGGCCTGCCCGAGGACCGGCGCGGCGGTGGCCCGGCCGTCGCGGCGATCGCGTGCGTCTTCCGCGCGGGCCGCGCGGGCGCGGCGACGGACCACGACTCCATCCTCTTCGACGTCGACGTGGCCACGGGCAAGATCGGGCGCGGCACGACGAACATGCAGTGGTACAAGCTCGGGCCCCGGCACGCCGCGCCCTTCGGGACCGTGCGCTGGGCGCCGCCGGCGGACACGCTGGACCACCCGGACACGGGCAAGCCCGTCGCGGGCGCGACGATCCCGGGCTTCGAGGACCGCGTGCTGGAGCTCGCGCGCGACGCGCACGAGAAGCTGCTGCCGCGCGTGCCGCTCGCGGGCTGGGACGTCGTCCTCTCCAAGGACCACGGGCCCTGCCTCCTCGAGGCGAACCTGTCCTGCAACTTTTTCCGCGGCTCCTTCGACGAGGCCAAGTACGTCGACTTCATCCACGACTACTTCGCCTACTGCGACGCGGTCTCCCCCGTCTAGGCGTCACCGTAAGCCGCCCTCCCGCAAGTTCCCGGGGAGCCGCGCGGCGACGCGCGGGCCGACCTCGGCCGCGAGCTGGCGGCGCCAGTCCGCGCCCGTCAAAAGGCGGAAGCGGCTCCGGACGGGGGGCGGGAGCAGGTAGCGCGCGACGCGCCAGACGGTCCAGAAGACGCGGTTGACGGGCGCGACGTACGCGCGGTGCAGCGCGAAGGGGAAGTTCTCGATCAGCGGCGGGATGAGGTAGCGCAGGAGCACGGGGTCCTGGTTCCGGAGGCCCGAGCCCGCGCGGTCGACGATGATGGACACCTTGCCGCGCGCGTCCGCGTCCGCGGAGTTCCGGGCCCACGCGGACGTCGCCCGGTCGCCGTGCCACGCGATGAGCCTGAGCCACGCGTCGCGGTCGACGGCGCCGACGCGGTGCCGCGCGGGCCGCAGCACGAGGAGCGCCGCGCCGTCGTCGTCGGCGAGCGGCGGCGCGCCGCCGTCGGCCGCGAGCCACTCCATCATCGGTCGATCGCCGGGCCAGAAGACGTCTCCGCGCTCCGCGAAGAACGCGTCGAAGCTCCAGTCCGCGTCCTCGACCCAGTCGGCCCGCCACGCCGACGCCGCGCGCAGCCGCGCCGGCGCGTCGCCGCCGCCGGACGCGCGGAGGAACGGCAGGAGCTCCGCGGGGCTCCGCGACCGCACCCAGGCGTCGTCCACGTCAGAGACGGCCGCGATCGTTTCGAGCTCCGCAGCTGTCGCCGCCGCACCACCGTACGAGACCGGCAGCGCTGCCGGTAGCGCTTCCGGTGCTGCCAGCGCTTCCGGTGCTTCTGGAGCTCGATCGCGTCGCAACAAACGCACGACGCGTCGCGGCACGATGCGCAGACCGGCAGTCGGCATAGCCGCTGCGACGAGCAGCAGATTCTTGAGCGCCATTGCGCGGCTCTGCCTCGAGATCAGCAGTTTTTGGTACGCTCAGCCTCAAGGTCGATTCAGTCGAGAGTCAACCACGGACAAAAGATCCGACGGCACCCCCCAGTGGGTGGGTGGGCCCGGGGGTCGGGTTTCAAAAATTTAAAGTGTACGTAAAGGGTACTTGTAACGCGCGCGCACGCGCGCGCGGAGGCCGCGCGCGTCTCGCATGCCGCGCAGCACCGAGAGTCGAAAGGTGGTGCCATGGAGCACGGCGATGTCCTCGTCGAGTCGGGCCGCGCCCGGCGTGCGTCGCCTGACCCGCGGCCGCACGGTGGCGGCTGCTGCAGCGGCAACGGCGACTCCCGGTCGAGCCGCGGCATGTGGCAATTCAGCGATGAGATCGCGGAGCGGACCTGGGTCGAGGCCGGCGCCACGAGCCTCGACCACGCGAAGTCGATCCAGAAGCAGCGGCTCTACCGCGAGTGGGGCGTCGCCTCCGTGCGCGCGGTCGCGCGGATCAAGATCGAAGGCCTCGGCCTCATCGGCGCCCCGTCGTCGATCCCGCGGCCCGACTACGGCCGGGACGCGGCCGCGAAGCGGGCCCGCGACGCGGCCTACGCCCGCGCGGCCCGCGGCACCGGCGGGACCTTCGGCGTCGCCTACGAGCAGTAGCCGCCCTACGTCGTCGTGCCCTCTTCGTCGCCGTGCTCGCGTACGCCTCCGCCCTAGTCGTGTCCTCCCGTGACGCTTCCCTACGCCCCCCTTCGCTGTTCTCTCCCCCTTCGGTTCTTCCCTGCGCCGCGGCTAGGCAATTCAGCGATCGCCCATACAATAGTAGACGTAACTTTTTAGAAGGGAGCGCGTAGGCCCGCGGGTCGCCCATGGCGTGGAGCTCGCCGTTCGTGACGACCGCATTCTGAGTGCCCATTCGAGCCGACGCTCAAGACCGACACCGATACCCCCGCGCGACTCAGCGTCCGA